GCTCGACCAGTTTGGGCTCCTCATTTACAACGCTAATGTCAAGCAGCTGGTCGATGTCCCCGGCCACGAGTACTTCTCTTACTTGGGCCAGAAGACCCAGATGGAAGCCGCCAACCAAGCCAAGATTGATGTGGCCGAGGCCAAGATGAAGGGAGAGATCGGATCCAAGGAGAGGGTGGGGGAGACCCTTCAGAATGCAGCCAAGATTGACGCCCAGACAAAGATCATATCCACTCAGAGGGAAGGGGAAGGCAAGAAGGCCGAGGTGCGCGTGGAGACCGACGTCAAGGTGTACGAGAATGAGCTGGAGGCGGAGGTTGCCCAGGCGAACTCTGAACTGGCCAAGAAGAAAGCCGCGTGGGCGCAGGCGGCTAAGCTTGCAGAGGTGGAGGCAAGCAAAGCTGTGGCTATGAGAGAGGCTGAACTGCAGAAGGAGGTGGAGAAGATGAATGCTCTGGGCAGAACAGAGAAGCTCAAGGCTGAATTCTTGAGCAAAGCCAGCGTTGAGTATGAAACCAAGGTGCAAGAGGCAAACTGGGAGCTGTACAAGAACCAGAAAGAGGCAGAGGCAAAACTCTTCCAGAAAGAAAAGGAGGCAGCGGCGCAGAGGGCTATAGCGGAGGCAGAGCTTTATGCTCGCCAGCAAAGAGCAGACGGAGAATTGTACAGCAAGCAGAGGGAGGCAGAGGGGATGGTGACGCTCGCTCAGGCTCAGGGGGCATACTTGCGCACGCTGATGGATGCATTGGGAGGAAACTATGCTGCGTTGAGGGACTACTTGATGATCAACGGCGGAATGTTTCAAGAGATCGCGAAGATCAATGGCGAGGCCATCAGAGGACTTGCGCCTAAGATTAGCATTTGGAACAATGGTGGTGAAGCCGGAGATGCAAGCAGCGGCAATGGGGCCATGAAGGAAGTTGCTGGTGTCTACAAGATGTTGCCGCCTTTGTTCAAGACTGTTCATGAGCAAACTGGAATGCTGCCACCTGCTTGGATGGGTACTTTGGCTGACTCGGAGGCATAGAATTTCTTTCTCTAGTTATATTTCACTAGTTATGTTTTCCCTGCAATTGCTACTGGTAGGATATTTGAACTGCTTTTTCTGATTGCTTTTCTCGGTTATTGGATATGGTTGGCAAATTCTTAAGAATCTTAGTTTAATATTATTGTTATATCAGTATATTACCAAGCATATGGGCTTAAATAGGAACATATGAACATCTAGGACTCGAATAGTTAAGTATACCCTTGAGCCTTAACACGTGGTTTTTGGTCGTGTGTTTGTGTGCTTTGGCCTTTGGGTCGGTATGTGCGCTCACTGTTCATGCTAATACATTTACTTTGTCTGTGCTTCTGTGTTTGAGCCGGGAGTGTTTTGGAAACAATCTTCCAACATCCCAGAAGGGGTAAAGTCTATCTACACATACCACCCTCCATAGACTCTACTTTTTGTAGGATTGTACCGAGTTTGTTTTTGTTGTTGTAATGCCTTAGTATATGTTATTCACAAGGCATTTGTTGTTGTTGATGTAGCACCATTTAATATAAAAAGGTTTTATTTGGGATGCACATTACACAATGAGTCAAGTAGTGAAACAAAAAAGGGAAAAGAAGTAAAGAACAAATCATAATGATTCCTGATATGATAAGACATCTTCTAATTTTTTCTGCAAAACAAATTCAAGCCTAAGGTTTTTTTTGTTACAGTTGACCTAAGAGTATGTTTGATATAAAGTATAAACATTTACTAGAGTAAAAGTGCTAATTTTAACTGAATTAATTTAACAGCCATAACAATCTGACTGTTTGACATGTTAAAACAGGGATTAGTGTAATTGGCAGAACAAAAGTGTGTTTAACTCGTCTCCTTCAGCCTTAATAGCCATTTACATAGGATGTAATATAAGAAAAACAAACACAGACTGGGTGTACTTGAATAGTCAATATATTGGGAATCATCAAAAGAACAAGAAGTGTACATCCACTCTTTTTAAACATCCCCATGGCATACTCCAATTTTATGTCATTTTCCATTTGATAACTATAAGGCTTCTGCTATGATTGTCTCTTTGTTCTGTCACTTGTGTGCATCCTATGTTATGGTACTATATTAACCAAGGTGCAACCATTCTATAAACTACATCCCATGAACTCCCAAACAGATTTTTAGTAAAAAGTAGAATTGCACAGTAAAAAGTAGAATTGCACAGTAACACATCCAATAGGTATAGTCATGTAGGCCCTCACACACACCCTCTACCATTTGAGCTTATAGTAATAGGTGTGGTTGGATCAATGGATCCATTCGATATTCAAGAACATGTAAATCAGATATAAAATGCTAAAGATGATATTGATATGAACTATGAACACAGACCACCAGGATATTTAACTGGAAAACAGGTCGGTGAAAATCGAGGGCACTTGAAAATTTGAATATGTTGAAACTTACAGTACAGAAATGAATGGAACATTGAAATTTCTAGGAGAAGCTTTCCAAGAAGAAGTTTTATACCAGAAAACTGCACACATTTCAGGTATATGCCCAAATATACCACAATAGACACCTTTAGAAACTTATGAAGCTAAAGGTCTCTCCCAGCCCCCAGGCCAAATTGCAGGCACGGATAGAAATGAGTAAGGGTCCAATTGGTACACGGAATTGGAATTGAATTGGGAGTTGAAATTTCTATGGAATTGATTTGAATGGAAGTGAGTTCTCCAATTCCAAATCATTTTTGGCACTACACGAAATTGGAATTGAATTGGGAGTTGAATATTTTTGTGCTACCAAATTGGAATTGTTGTCCCCAATTTTGATTCACAGCTTGAATTTTGTGTACCAAACAGAGCCTAAGAATTTCATCAAATACAATAATTAATTCCAATTAGGCACATTAACCCACTGCAATTGAAACATACCTGGATTCAGCTGGTGGTGGGAGACATCGGCAGTGGCAGGGGAAGTCAGACGCAGTTGGGGATGTCAGCGGCGGCGGGAGGGCTCGTCGTTGACTTCTGCGGAAGGTTGCGCCGGTGGATGCTTTCGACGCCGGAGTCGTCCCTGATCAAATCTGGGACAGAAAATTCACATGAAACTAATCAGATTTGGTGAAAATAAGAGCCATGGACAAAGATTAGAAATGACCATACTACCATTTGTCAATGACCATCCAAAAACTTGACATAGCTCTCGTTCATCTCAAATTTCGCTCTTTTGACACCCCATTTGTGTTCCGTTGAGTGGATTGCTGGAGGGAAATGATAAGAACGAATAAAAAAAATTTATGTTAATTTTTTGTTTTTTTTAAGATGGCATTTTTCATATAAGAATCATTTTTTAGATGATAAACAGACTAAACTAAAAGTAAAATATAAAAAATGGGACTGGTTTTCATTACATTGGAAACCAAGAGAATAGAAAATATATTAAAATAAGAATTTCATAATTTCATTCTTAAAATATACGAAGTATATTTCTACCTGTCTTGAATAATTGTCTTGTTTTTTAGTCAATAGTTTTCAACTTTTGACTCACAATTAAATAAAATATATATTTTGTATTAATTAGATATTATAGTATTTTGAAAAATTATATAAATTATTTTTATATCAATATCTAATATCATTTTTATTTAATTTAGAATTAAAGTTTATCAATTTTGATCAAAAAAGTCAAAAGTGAATAAATATTCGGAGCTAAATAAAAGAATAGTTAAAATGCACAATGTCAATCATGTCAATATATAATACCAAAAATATTATGAAATATTCTTATATAGTGCAACATTATTACAGTACAAAATCTTATTTTAGAATAAAACGTGCAACCGCTATTTTAATACACTCTATGTTTTATTTTTATTTAGAATGATTTTTTTAGATCGAATTCATGAATTTTACATATCTCTTTTAGTTACTACACCATGAGTCATTAATAAACTAAACATATTTTGTTCTCAATACTCAATCCCTTGACTAGATAGCATATTGACATTATTAACATCAACTAATAATAAATCATTTCCAAATATTTATCTGATATTTTATTTTTTAAAAATCTTTTCCAAATATCTTTACATCTCTCTAAATGCATGACTCTTTATGTTCCAAATCACAATACTCGACTAATGATTTTTTCAAATTAATTCATTTAAAAATTCGTATATAATAAAAGAATCAAATATATGTATCTAAAAGAGAAAACTATTTAACTAAAATTAAAAACATGTATTATATGCTAAAAATGACTTTAAATATTTTATATCAAAATAGAATTTATAATGCCATTTATAAAACTTATTATGTATTCATAGTTGATTGAATTGTGTTTAGGATTTTCTTTTTTTATAGCACTCATGGTTCAATAGCTACTCTTTTTGATTGATCACAGAGACCATTGTCCCATTGGAATACTTACAATGCTCCATCAACAATATCAATAGCCAAAAAACCATGTTTTATGATGGGTGTATTTCCACCCAGAATACAAAACGGGTCACACGCTACATTGATCAACCGGGTGAATGCTAGAATTTGACCAAGTAGGTCCTAACCACCTAGGTATGTTGGGACTTTTCACATTATCTCGGCGATCCTTTCAAAGGAGCTACCCGAGTGGTTTATGAGGGCTCGCGCATGCATATCAGCAGTCTCGCGTACTTAGGAGGTTAGCGCTTGAAATGAATCAGATCCTTTGCACCGACGAGTACGTCCAAGCATTACACACCAAGCCACAGTAAAGACAATTGGAGAAAGAGGACAAGTGTTACAAGACATGAATCCGTCGCCTCACCACGTAGCCCAGCATGGACGCGCGGTGCCCTGTTCCCCCACATTACCCTATAAGTATTCTTGTAATCTTCAAATGAAGGGATCCAAATTTCATCTCTATAAACGCATACTATGTAATATATCCATGTACTCTTCTCACACAATAACAATTGAACTACAAGTGTTCCCACCTACAGTCCCCCCGGTCAATCTATATGTATATGAGCTCTTACACTTTCTAAACTCAGCAAATTACCCTAGACTCGGTCTAAAATAGTTTGCCCGGATCGTTAATTTACATCATCATTTTATATACTAAAAATGACTTTAAATAAAACATGATAGCTTCGATTGGAAAATTACGGTGCTCTGTTAACAAAATTAATATCATCATATCATTTAACCTTCTCGATAACCCTCTTATCCAGTCTCGATCTCAACCTGTTCTATCACATTAATTACGAAATGTAAATTTGGTTGACATTACAATCAAATTATGGAACTATTAATTTTAGAATAGAAACAGAGTGACCCCGTAGAACAAGATTCTTTTCATAGATACCGAACAACGTTTATAAGATAAGGGAGATGCTAAAAATGGAGAGCTATAAACATAGTTTAGAATATGTACAGTGATTTGGATGTTCTTATTTTCATATGTGCTCCAACCGTAGCTGCTATTCTCCCTCTTCCATATAAATTTAATATGCTTTATCTTTTTATTTCTTTGCTTTGTGTGGAATAAAAACCAAGTTATCATTTCTCTCTCCACTCAATTGGTTGCCGTACTTAGTTTTATTAATATTTTATTATAGCAGATAACTTTTGGTCTTTTATATATAGCATGTGTAAAGTGAAAAATAGATACTTCTCTATTTCTTGAAGGACCCGTTGGAGCTCATCCTTTATATATAATATTTGAGAGTTGGACTCTCAGAATTGCGACATTTGGCGTGATGACTGGAATGTTTTTTGACACCTAATCAGCCATGACATCAAGAGAATTGAATCGAACTTTCCTTCGACTAATTTATGATATAATAAAAGAAATTATGTAACTTAATAAAATTAGTGAAACATAAATTAATATTGCATAAAATAAAAATTATTAATGGAAAAAAGAAAAGTTTCTTTTTTAACTAACAAAATTTTCAGTAAAATTTTTACCATAATATTTTGCTCGGACTCCAATTAAGCTTAAAAATTAGTCAATTGAATAAAAAGGATATTAAATCATTTGTATAGAAAACAAAAATAAATCAAAACAAACTAAAACAAATTAAAAATGAGAACTTTTAACATTTAGTAATAAAATTTTGATCTAATTATTATTATAATAACTTTATTTAATATAAAAAAATACTCTGTAACGAATAAAATTTCACATATTTCTTCAAAAATTATATTGACTACTGAACTTAAAACGAATAAAATTTTCTTTTCATTTACAACGT